ATACACATACTAATCACATTAGTTTATAGGTGGTGTTTCATACACGTACTGATCACATTAATTTATAGGTGGTGTTTCATACACGTACTGATCACATTAATTTATAGGTGGTGTTTCATACACGTACTGATCACATTAGTTTATAGGTGGTGTTTCATACAGGTACTGATCACATTAATTTATAGGTGGTGTTTCATACACATACTAATCACATTAGTTTACATGTGGTGTTTCATACACATACTGATGACATTAGTTTATAGGTGGTGTTTCATACACATACTATTGACATTAGTTTATAGGTGGTGTTTTATACACATACTGATGACATTAGTTTATAGGTGGTGTTTCATACACATACTGATGACATTAGTTTATAGGTGGTGTTTCATACACATAATAATCACATTAGTTTATATATGGTGTTTCATACACATACTGATGACATTAGTTTATAAGTGGTGTTTCATACACATACTGATGACATTAGTTTATAGGTGGTGTTTCATACACATACTGATCACATTAGTTTATAGGTGGTGCTTCATACACATACTGATCACATTAGTTTATATATGGTGTTTCATACACGTACTGATCACATTAGTTTATAGGTGGTGTTTCATACACGTACTGATCACATTAGTTTATAGGTGGTGCTTCATACACATACTGACCACATTAGTTTATAGGTGGTGTTTCATACACATACTGATGACATTAGTTTATAGGTGGTGTTTCATACACATACTGATGACATTAGTTTATAGGTGGTGTTTCATACACATACTGATCACATTAGTTTATAGGTAGGTGGTGTTTCATACACATACTGATCACATTAGTTTATAGGTAGGACGTTTTTGATTCACATAATAATATACATCGGGTATGTTTAATACTCATACTCCTATATAGATGGAGTGTATTTTATATGGATATTGATATTGGAGCTGAGTCATTGTTTAGAAATATACCTATAGACTGAACCATTGATCATTGTTCTGGTCTTGTGCTTGCTAACAATGAAATTGTACATGGTATTTTAAAACATTTTTACTTTTTGCAACAGTTAAACGGTTTAGCGGTAAAATCTACTTGCTCTTGACCTTGCTGATCTCTTCTTGCGCTTCCATGAAAAAGTTTGGTTACAATCCTGTTCTGAAAATTTTAAACCTGTGTATTACAAGAGACATGTCGATGATACTTTTGTGGTGTTTAACAATGTTTTGAATATCTATTGTGTACTGTTAAACTTCATATCTATGTGTTGTCCTAATCTTAAAAATATTCAATCTGTTAATGAATCTCTCCTGTTTTTAAATGATAAACATTCCAATAACAAAGTTTCTTCTTGAAAGTCAACAGAATGTTCACAGGTTAAATAAACA